AAGTACCGCAGTGTAATCCATTTATTTCAACAAACTAACTGTATTCTGAATACCACCTTTTTAAACGGTAACTGTAACGGAATACAGTTACTCGTATTTTGTATTTTAAATACGTAATGGCGGTACATGTATTCCGTTACTCCCCAACACTGCCTACGATGGCCGTAACGCTCCGACAATCCATCAAGTGGTGCGGGTTCGTAGCTTAGCAAAGTCGTACTAAAAGATTTGACAGATTTTCGCCGTGTACCACATAAAATCGTTTCGAGGTCAGTAAACACAACCAGAATTCATACATAAGGCACACGGGATTATAAGGTAAGGGGAACTGTCGATTTTCAGAGAAATCAAAGGATTGATTTTAAGTGTGCTGTATTTTCCAAAAATACGGTAATAATGACGGCCCGCTAGCATGCTCTACCAAAAATAGTGCTTTGTTGTGTATCTGACGGACGAAAGCTAAACCAGTTCCACACCACTGAAGTTGCAACATTTTTACAAACCAATTCTGGTTCATCCGTTTCATTTAACGATCCGCTTTCACCCTTCTCATTCTCCGTCGCCGCCACGTGCGTATGAAAACAAAGGCACTGCGCATGCATGTTTTACCCATATTCTATCGCGATATTTCATTTTCTTATCGTTGCCCAACATTATATCGCTATTACCGTGAATGGTATGATATGGCCCAGCTCTAATTCAAAGTATTCATCTAACAGTTTGTACAGTACCTAAGGTCCACTAGGATGCCTTACAGAATGAAAGGAAATGAGGCACTAAACACCTTTACAAAAGGTCACATGATTTTGAGCAAACACGAAAGTGTTCATCTAACATTATAGGAGGAGAGGTGGGTCGAGTATACAAAAATTGTACTCAAGCAAGAGTAGCATTACTTTAAAATATTATTACTCAAGTAAAAGTAAAAAGTAGTCATCCAAAAAATTACTCAAGTAAGAGTAAAAAACATAGTTCGTGAAAAGACTACTCAGGTACTGAGTAACTGGTTGTAGTGTCTGATTTATTTTTTTACTTTTTAAAAAAATAAATGCTTATCAGACAAGCAAAAATAAATAAATACACAAATTTTAGTAATCTCAAATAGAATATAAAAACATTAACAAAATAAGGCACACCACTTCTAATTTCCAGATTTCAGTTTTTCACAACATAAAGCTTTTTTAACCAATACAGTGGTCCCTCATTTATCGTGAGAGTTAAATTCTAAAAATAACCCGTGATAGGTGAAATCCATGAAGTAGCCGACTTTACTTTTTATAATTATTATAGATGTTTTACGGCTGTAAATAGATGTTTTAAGCCTCAGTATACACTTTATGCACTTTTCTCAGACAGGCATGAACATTTTCACACTTTTATCCCTTGATAAAAGTGTGAAAATGTCACAGTTCAAATCTTCGTTGAGTATTATGGAATGAAACCAAAGGCACCCATGGTTGCCTCTGACGGTGCAAAATGTTTCATCGACATTGTTGCGTTTGTTGGGGAGAAAACTTACAAATATACAGTACAGGGTTCAGAGTCACACTGCTAGCACTTGAGATTTATGTCAATTTGACCAGCTGAACGCATTCTGTATTGTACAGGAGACACGGAGCACGAGATTGATTGACAATGGTCTACAGCCAATCAGGACGCAGAACACAATGCGCTGTGCAAAAACCCCAAAAAACCCTTGAAAAATTGCACACAAAAAATCTGCGACAGCGAGGCCGCAAAAGGTGAATCGCGTTATTGCGAGGGACCACTGTACCTACAGTAAATTATATAAATATATGAACAATGCAAACCATTTCCAGTGACAAGATATGCTGTATACTTTATATTCAGCTTTACTCTAAATGGCACAGCAGCCTCAGAGAAAACATTAGAGCAAGGCAACTTCAACATATGTACATACAAGGCTGTAATTGTTTAGCAGTGAACAGGAATCCTGCCTGACTAAAAAGTCCTTCACAAGCTCCAGATGCAGGAAGATTATGCAATAGATCCACACCTCCAGTGAACAGACATGAAAGGTACCTCTCCAGCTCCCCTGCTTCTGGTTTTCCTAACCCCATAGATCCAAAGCAATCATCTTCGTCGGTTAGGCCGCTGTTTGTGCTGGCCTCATCCAGCTCTGTGTCTAGGTGATGTCTGATGAAGTTCAGACCTGTGGAAACATACGGTTTTCAAAAGAATTAGGTCTGGGCATTATAGTGCTGTATAGACTGCCAAGCTGCGGATGTTTGGCATAAATATTTTATCACGCTGGAGATATTTTTTACTAACTCTTGTTGAAAAACAAAATCTTGTCATTCATATCTCCGCACAAACAGTTTGTGATGAATTCCAGATTAAGTTCAAAATAAGAACGTATGCAAGGCTAAGCAGTGCTAGCCAACATATTCTCCTTCAAAAACATTTTTTTAGCCTTTCTTCTTAGTTATAAACTTCTACACTTCATAACTGTAGTTCACTGAAGGAGGAGTCAGGACAAAAAGTCACATGTTGAGAAAAAAATATATAAAAACAGCTTAATTACTAATGTAAATGGCCTGTATTTGTATAGCGCTTTACTAGTCCCTGAGGACCCCAAAGCGCTTTACTCATTCAGTCATCCACCCATTCACACACTGGTGATGGCAGCTACATTGTAGCGACAGCTGCCCTGGGGCGCACTGGCAGAGGCGAGGCTGCCGGACACTCTGACCACCACCAGTAGGCAACGGGTGAAGTGTCTTGCCCAAGGACACAATGACCGAGACTGTCGGAGCCGGGGGCTTGAACCAGACAGTTGCCTCTGCCATGTTTTCATGTTTCTACTTTCTGTGTCCGCTAGTTTGAAAGGCTTGGGCCGCTCTGCCCGCCACAGTTTATAAACTGGTCATGTGACTGCATGGCTACATCTGATTGGTGAAAGAGTTAAGGGTAACTCCACTGGCAGCATGATCCATTATTATCTAATGTGTGAAATTAATTATGTAGAAAAAGTAACAAGTCAAATATAGCGGAGTAAAAATAGCATTTCTTCTTCACAAATGTACTCAAGTAAAAGTAAAAAGTATGGTGCAATAAAGGTACTTTTAGAAGTACATTTTTTTCAAAAACGTACAGCGTTAATGTAACTCATTACTACCGACCTCTGAAGAGGAGTGGTCAGAATCCCTGCTGCACTACACTGCCTAAAGAATTGAAAGGAAGTGATTTACAGCAATAGTACAACAATTTCACTGCCAGTAGTGCAGGAGCAGAAAATAGATGAGTTTTTGTGTCAGCTACTGGCCGAACCACATTCTGCTTGTCCCCAGCCTCCATCAATAGTTCTGCTGGAAGTGGGAGTTGAAGATCTTAGAGAGTGGGGCCTCTGTCAGACATTCCCATTACACCATCATAATATGTTTAGGTTTGCCAGGTCTGTCAGGTGTCGTTCCCACCACCTGATTCAACTCACCATCAGGTGGTGATCAGCTGACAGCTCAGCTCAGCTCTTCAATCAAGCGTGCAGAACATATTGCCACAGATCTGATGACATGATTACAAAATTGAGTGGGTGCATGGGTTCTCTCCGGGTACTCTGGCTTCCTCTCACATAGATATGAAGTTAATGGGATTAGGTTAATTGGTGACTCTAAATTGCCTATAGGTAGGAATGTGATTGTGAATGGTTGTCTGCGTCTATGTGTTAGCCCTGCAACAGACTGGCGACCTATCCAGGGTGTACCCTGCCTCTTGCCCTAAGACAGCTGGAATAGCCTCCAGCCCCCCTGTGATGCTGAAAACGATAAGCAGAAGAGAATGGATGAATGCTTTTTTTTAAGTGCTCAAATTGTTTGTGAGATTAAGGGGAGAGGCAGGGAGTTTGTAGTCTTTTTCAAAATGCCAACCATAAAATAGTCTTTGGAGCATAAATAGTTAAATATTTTCCTCTCATTACTTTCAGGGAGAAACTGGCTGAATAACCTGGGGCAAATGTTGGATGACAGATTCTGTATCAACAATGGAGGTAAAATATATGAAACTCAAATATTGTTCTTTGGAGATACTGTGTTTGCAATAATATATTTTCATTTTTTTCTCTTTTTATCATCATTTGTATAAAAGGAAAACAGTGATGAAGATTTAGTTGTTGAGCTATACTGTGAGGAAGTAAATGACCCTCCATCTGCACCATGTTCTACCTGCTGGGATGACTGTCAGCAGATTATTACAGGAGGTAAAAGTCAGCTTTATGCTTTTTACTGCTACAGCAGAAAAACACAATATGATGTGAAGTCTGTACGTAAGCACATTATTAATATTATCAATATTACTATTATTATGCCCACAGTTACTTGTCATCATGTGAAGACAAAAGTGTTTTATATCAGCAGTGAGTTAGTGTCTCAGCATTTGGACAGTCCTATTGGTGACAGTGAGAACTACACCGTGATTACATGCAGAGAGGAAGAAACTCAGCAAGAGTCGATAGACATGGACAGCTCAGAGCCCGACTACCTGAAACCAGAAGAAGAAAAGTCCAGCCAGACTCCTGAAGACATGAAGGATGAAATCAAAAGTCAGTCCTTAGTTACCTCAACACACACAGGTAAACGTTAACACCAATTACAAAAAATGATGGCATACTGGTTAAGTTGAAAATAAAAACAGAATGTAATAATTTTTAAATCTCATATCCTCAGTGAAACACCTGCAAAGCTTATTGAAAAAACTGGGCTTGAAGCAGAACTACACAAAGAAGCTATCACTCAGGAGAATACTTGGGATTAATAAGAAGACCACCACTGATGAATCTGCGAAGTGTAAATCAGACCTTCCATGGTATTTTCTACAGAAACTAATGATGTTTAATGTCACTGCTAGGAATGTGAAATGTACATCAGAGTGTGATTCAACCAGTGATGATACATCAGGAACTAAGAAGTTAAATCTTAAAAATATGGTCAGCAGTCCAAACACAGAGGACACGGTGAACCCGCTCGACATAATCACTGCTCTCTTTCTGTGTTCTGATGGTTTTCTACAGCAGGAAATGGCACTAAAAATGTCCATGTGTCAGTTCTCTGTCCCTCTGCTGCTTCCTAATTGTGACACAGGACAGTGCACATTCATGCTGTGGGCCATGAGAGACATTGTTAAAAAGTACAGACCTCAGTCTCTTTCACAGTCAAAGGGCTTCATTGAAGAAAGAATCGTTCTCTCTGAACTTCCAATGGTCTCTTTTGTCAGACTGGGTGAGTGCTCCTTGTCCAAGTCAGAGTTTCTTAATGAGCTTCTGAGCAATTCTCAGCAGTACCACGACACCTTTGTTCACCACAACATGGAGTGTGGTGACAGTCCAAGAAGAATTTCCAACGGACTGACTGAAATTACTTGGTATCTTCCTGGTGGAAACATAAACATTGATATTTTCGGTCAGCCAGTGGCTGTAGCTAACCTTCGTGGGGACATTGCTTCATTTGAAACACAATACTCCTTTTTGTGTCAGACATCTGCAGCAGTTTTTGTTTTCTTTGAGCATTTGGATTCTGAGTCTGAATCTGTGTTCAATCTGCTTAAAAGCCAACACCACAAAGCACAGATCTACTTGGTGGGAAACTATGAGAGCAAGCGCTTCAATTTAGATGCTTTGGAAAAAGTAGCAACTGAGTTAGATTTAACTGAAAACAACATCATTATTAAGACAAAGCAAAAAAATGATGCAGACTTTGTAAAAGATTTGAGGAAAACTGTCAGAAATGTGGTTGAGAAATCAGAGCTGAAGATGAAAATAGAGAAGATGGTGGATGTTGCGCATGAACTGGGAATCCTGGTTGATGAAGACGCTCCAGAGTGCCAGACTGCAAAGAAAAATGCAAAAACCATCACTGAAGAAATTCAAGACATCCATAAATATAAAGAAGATCAGCTTCCCCGACAAGGACAAATATGGAAAACACTGACCTTGTTAGAGAAGGAAGAGTTTCGACTTCGAAATGTTGGGTCTAAAAATGTAGAAGATTACAAAAGTGATCTTCAGAAACAGAAAGAAGAACTGCGGCAAAAGCAGAACTCATATGAGATATCAACAGCTATGACAAACTTCATCACTGGGATATCAAGCCCAGGAACAGAGAGGTTTTATTTCCTGAAATGGATGCGAATGAACCTCGATAATGTGTCTCGTATAAACCTGTGTGAACTCAGGGAGAAATACAAAGAAAAATGCAAGAACTCTGAGAACAAAGAGGAGATCAAAGAAATTGACAGACAAATTTCCATCAGCTCACTGGGGATTGAACACTTCTTCCGTGAAATGGGTCAGATCTATGAAGCTTCACTGTCTCTTCCAAAAACAGACAGATCACGTCGACAACTGCAGCATCTGCCCAAACTGTGTGCAGAGTTGTTGCTTGATGGATTTCCTCTTGAGCTCGTAGATGGAGATGCATCCAACATCCCTCTCAGATGGGTGAGTGATGTTCTCTCTCAGCTCAGTGACCTGGTGTCTCCAAAGAAAAAAGGAAAGAAGAGGAAGATACGAGTAGTCACAGTTCTTGGAGTTCAGAGCACAGGAAAGTCCACTCTCCTTAACACCATGTTTGGAGTGCAGTTTGCAGTCAGCAGTGGTCGATGTACTCGAGGTGCCTTTATGTTGCTCATCAAAATCAATGAAGACATGAAAAATGTCCTAAACTGTGACTTCATGGTGATCATTGACACTGAGGGCTTAAAGTCACCAGAACTTGCACAACTGGACAACAGCTATGAGCACGACAATGAGCTTGCAACACTTGTTGTGGGGCTGAGTGATGTCACCATTGTCAACATTGCAATGGAGAATTTAATTGAAATGAAGGATATCCTACAAATAGTTGTGCACGCTTTTCTCAGGATGAAGGAGGTGGGCAAAAAGCCTAAATGTCAGTTTGTTCACCAGAATGTGTCGGATGTTTCAGCCCATGATAAGAACTTACGAGACAGGAAACTGCTCCTGGATCAGTTGAATGAGATGACTCAGGCAGCAGCCAAAATGGAAAAGAAAGAGGGGAACAAGAGCTTCACTGACGTGATGGAGTACAGTCCAGACACTGGGAACTGGTACATTCCTGGACTGTGGAATGGAAACCCACCAATGGCACCAGTTAATGCAGGTTACAGTGAGGCTGTATATGAGCTCAAGAAAAACATCATCCAACTAGTGAGAGACTGTGAATCATCTGCTAATGATATCATGCAATTTAAAGAGTGGGTGAAAAGCCTGTGGAATGCAGTAAAGCATGAAAACTTTATCTTCAGCTTCAGAAACAGCCTCGTAGCTGATGCATACATGAAGCTCTGCACAGAGTTCAATAAATGGGAGTGGGAGTTCAGAAAAGAAATGTACACCTGGGTAAGAAATGCAGAAACAAAAATTTCCAATTTTGGTACCATTGCAGCAAAATCTGAAACATCTGACATGAGAGAATTTCTCAGATCTTTGAAAAGTGAAGCCTCCACAGTGCTGTCTGCATGGGAGACAAAGATTCTGAACAATCTGACACAATATTTCAAGCAAACAGAGGGTCATGTGTACCTGGTTGAAGGATACAAAGAGGAATTCTCAAACAGTGCAAAGGTCCTTCGTCGTGAAATAGAAAGTGGTGCAATGTATCAGCTTGAAGCAGCAGCAGGAATCAGACAGGGAATGACAGAAATTGATAAAATCAAAAACAATCATACAAAAGAGATTGAAAAAGCTGTGCGTGCATTAATTGATAAATGTCGAAAGAAAAACATCCAAATGACAGACACTGAGTTGGACAAAGAGTTTGAGAAGATGTGGAGCGAAACTTTAGAAAAACTGTCTTTCTCTGAACAACAAACCTCAAATGTCACAGACAGAGTGTCCTACTGTCTGAGAGATAATCTTAAACGTAAGGGGAGCTGTGCAAACGAGTTAAGTCAAAGGAGTTTGCAAGACTGTGGAAAAGAGTCTTTTAAATGGACAACTGACGGATTTTACAACAAAGTTAAACGTGGGGCTAAAAAGTTCTTTCTCGGTCAAGATGACATAATGGCTGCACAACATCTGGCTGACAGCATCATAGCTGCTTGCACAGACCTTGTGAATGAACAAGTGAAAAAAAAAAAAAATTACCATGACACTTATATCCAGGAGATCCTCAACGTGATTGATGAGAAGCTGAAAAACCATCAAGATGTTAAGATAAACATCGAGTTTGAAGTTTCTCTAAAACAGCACATCTGTGGATTTGCAGCCAGAAAGTTTCAGAAAATGCACAAAGATTTCATAGAAGAAAATGATCCGTACAGATGTCTGATTAAAAACAAGGAAAAGTTTCATGAGGACTTCAAAGATGTGTTTCATAAACGAGACCAGTGTCAGAAGAAGGCAGAAGAATTTACAAATCGATGCTTGAAGCCTGCTGTTGAAGACTTTGTTAATCGTTCCCTGGGTCCTGATATCATTGATGAAATGAGGAAACTCGAGCAGTTCAGCACAAGAATGTCCTTCCAGTATTCAATTTTACTGGATTTGCTCTCCAAGGAGGATTTTCAAAACTATGTCAGCTATATTTGCTCATATGAGAAATATGTAAAGACATGGATACTCGAACAAATAAAGGAGCGCTTCTCAAATGAGTCGACAGTTTTTGAGTTTGAGGAGCGACATCTGTGGTCATGTATTGACAGCATAAATTCTGCCATCAACGAGGCCAAAACCAGAGAGAGTGAGGATTTGAATGAATTTGTTGAAGACATTTGGAAAGAACTTGGTGATAAACTGGTCATTTCCCAGGATGCTCTTGGTGCTTTCATGATACTGAACAATGCTGACAAGGAACAGTTTGCTGACTGTCTCACAACATCTGTGAGTGACATGACAGAAACTCTTAGAAACAAATTAAAGGACTCTACCTTTGAAATGAAGCTACAACATCTCCATGTGAATCCACAGAATGAGCTTTTCAACAAATTGATTGGTTGTGGCAAACAGTGTCCATTCTGCAAAGCTCCCTGTGACGCAGGAGGAAAAGCCCATACTGAGCACTTTGTTTCACTGCATAGACCAGAAGGTCTGGGTAGATACAGGTGGGAGTGGTCAGAGCGACTTGTCACTGACATATGCTCATCCTCAGTGATCAGTGACAACAGATTTTGTTGCAGTCATACAAACAATGAATGGCACCCTTATAAGAAATACAAGAACATTTATAAGGACTGGGATATTCAGCCAGATAAGAGTCTCGAAGCATCAGACTACTGGAAATATGTAATGACAAAATACAACGAGAATTTTGCTGAACAATATAAAGCAGAATGTGCTAACATCCCAGGTTTTTGGTATCTAATCAATAAAGATCAGGCAGAAAAAAGTCTTGATGAGTCATACAAGTAACCATTCTTCTATTGCTCCTCATTTCCTTCTGCTGTACAGAAGATATCGCAGATGTAGTTTTCATGATATTGAAGAAAATGCCTCAATATTTTCCAAGACAAAAGTAACATACTCTCAGTACACAGAAAATTTACCAGTGTGGAACTCTTCCCCTGAGTTCAATTTAACTCAATTAATGAAAAAGAATCTCATATCAAATGTAATATATGTTTTGTGTGTGTTGTTTTTCTTCTCTTTTTTGGTAATTGATATATTCACATTTTTGTCATGGATAAGTCAGTTTTCTTCTTTTTTTCAGTAACAAAGTTAACAACAAAAAAACCCCCGCTCAGACTTCATTAATAATTTATGTTTCTTTGAGGAATCTTATGTTAAATCTTTACACTTACACAATTAGCAAACTGTGGATCGAACTGTGTGCTATCTACAAAAAAAAAGTAGTCTGTAATGCAATCCACCAGGACATCACAATGCATATCCTCCATGGTTCAGTCAAAACATTCCTCAGAGCTCACTTCAGTCTCACCATCTTTTCACAGCATTGGTCCCTGTGTACGATAGGTTTATACACAGGGAGAAGGTAGACCAGGTTGTCTTGATGAGCTATATGCCTTTTTTGTGTAAGCATACAGTATATTCAGTGTTTTAATGTCTCTGGTGATGTGTGTTATCATAATGAGACTTTCTATTGTGTTTTATAAATTGCAGTGACATCAGATCAATAAATCTGGGGGGAAAAATGAAATAACATGTATTTTTCTTGACATTTCATATGTTTCATCATCTGTTTTATAAATTAGTTCCTCATTAAATAAAGAAAATTATGTGAAAATTCATCCTCCCTGTTTTCTAACAAATGTGTAAGGAAATGGGGTAAACCGTGTCTTTGAGCTTTTCAAAAAATCTAGTATAGTCTATGTGACTGTCTTTAGAACCAGCTTACATATTTTTGGTCTTAAAAAAAGAGAGAAAGATTTTACATTATATTATTATCTGTTTTTATGTGGTGGTTTTACCAATCTGAAAAATGCTACTTTTTTAAAATAATCATATTTCATTAGAATACTTTTAATGTCTTTAGCAATTTTTATCCTCCTAAGTCTCGAGTTTGAGTTAAACAAAGATTGTATAAAGAGCACAACAAGTGCACATTTGGTGGAGTAGTTGCAGCACTAGTTGCTGCAGCAGACCAGAAGCGCCACTACTGCTGCTGCTGCTGTCATGAATTGAGCCAGTCCTTTCTCCCACTTACAAATGAAGTCCATGTGGCGATCCTTTTGGACTAAAATGTTTGTTATGTTTTTGCACTTGACTTGCTCCTAACCATGGACTGATGGGCTGTTTCTCAATACTTAAGTCTGCAAATCCGATACGCAAATTATAGGCCAATTATGTCACAGCGAGGCAACAAAGGGTGCCCATTTAAGGCCCACAAATGCGTCCTCCTTTTTCCTGGATTTGAAGGACTGGTCAAGTGTATTCTTTGTTGCCCACCCTATCCCAGGATTCATTGCGAATCTAACATTTGAAGAAATTTTGGGGAAAAAATAGCAGCGGTCCGGAAATAAACTTTCAAATGTACTGGGGTTTTAATCACTTCTAATATCCTGCGAAACAAATGTTAGCATAAATGTTAAATTGAGCTAACCTTCATCTATGTTACGTGACATCAGTTTTCTATCGAAGCAGTGTGCAGCCAAATGTACCTAAACATTTTAGGAAAAATCGAGCAGACAGCGCTCCAAATATCTGGCCTGTGAACTGTGGTAAGGAAACGGACCTTAAACATGAGTTAAAAGAGCTTTCATCCTATATAGAGCCACTAATAATAAAATGGACAGTAAATGAAGAAGAACTGTTTCTGTGCTGTTTTTATCATCCTTGTATTATACAACCTGCGAAAGTCACGTTTGTTATAATACCCAACATTTCTGCAGGCTTTTATATCTTATTTGCCCTTTAGTTTTCTTCCCTCTCTGATTAAAACAAATAAAGAGTGTCCATGTTCTTATAACTTATAACTTATAACACCAGTATGTTTGTCCAGATATGGTATGTAAACACTGGTTTGTTTTTTTTAAAACCCTCTGGTTAAGGTTAATATGGGCATGTGCAATGAATATCAGTGCTATGTGGCCAGAAGTGTGACAATATAATTTATTTTGTGTAATAAACAACTGCAAGGATAGATGATTACAACAAATAGATGACTAATACATAAAAGTAATACATAGATGAATAATGATGATGAGTTATGATGCTAACTCCCTTTCTGATACTGCGAGGAACTTGGGTGTTGTCTTGGACAGTTCCTTCAAGCTGGACAAACATGTGTCCTCTGTAGTTAAACCTGGTTTCTATCAATTACGTCTAATCTCGCGATGGACGCGAATAAAACGCCCCAAACGCCCCTAATTTGACGCGTGTACATTCGCGTCTCAACGCGTGTCCAAGAAAAATCCATCATATTTTGACGCGCGTGAACCGGAAATGTGGGAGGAATGTGGGAGGGAGTTGTGCCAGACCGGTATCTTTGCAAGATGGCAGCTGTCGAGCTAGCGCTTGAAGAGAGAGTCTCCCTTCTCTATTTACTGTGGAGAGCAGAGCAGCGGCGTAAAAGACGTCCTCGCCGTACCTGGGTCCATCAGGTCCTCCAGAG